GGTGGAGAATCATGGATTAAGAATACTGTCACTACCTTGTTGACTTTTACCTTACCAGTTGCTATTATTTGGGCAATTATTAATACTGTTGCTGTTTCATATGGTTCCACTGCTGCCTTGCCATTCAAGACTGTTGCTATCATTTTGGGATTGTATCTCGTTATTTCATTCCCTCTCCTTTTACTTGGTGCTATCACTGGTAAGAATTTCACAAAGGGATTCGAAGCTCCATGTAGAACCAAGAAGGTTCCTCGTGAAATTCCTCCAGTTGCTTGGTATAAGGATGAAAATTTGATGAGTATTGTTTCTGGATTTTTGCCATTCATTTCCATCTATATTGAACTCCATTATTTGTATTTGAGTATGTGGGGTCAATATGGTCACGTTCCATTCCCAATTGTTTTGATGGTTGTCTTGATTTTGATTGCTGTCACTAGTTGCATTACCATTTCTCTCATTTATTTGACTCTCTCACAAGAAAACCACAATTGGTGGTGGAGAAGTATCAAGTTTGGTGGTACTAGCAGTATTTTCGTTTTTGGTTATTCCCTCTATTACTACATTATGGAAAGTGGCATGTCAGGCACTCTCCAAACAACCTTCTTTGTTGGTTACAACTTGGTTATTGCCTTTGCTGTTTTCTTAATGATGAGTACTGTTGGTTTCCTCTCTAGTTTGACCTTTGTCAAGAATATTTATAGTTCTATTAAGTGTGAATAAATTTGATAATTTTTGTAAAATTCAATTAGTTTTATTCATTAATGAACGGAGCAATCTCTGTTGTTGTCAATTAGGTTGATAAGTTTGACCTTGCTCTCATTGTAAAGGAAAAAAAGATTTGAAAAAGATTGTGGAATTTCCAACATTCATCAGATAACATTCTCCGTACAACCAACTGGTGTTGATGTTTTAATAATCACACGATAAAAAACCAGCACACACACAAGATGACATCACGGGGGATCAGCAAATTGTCATCCTCATCATCGTGCTCTTTCCTTTTATTTGTATTGCTATTATCATTGGCATTACTCTTAATTAATTGTCATGCTGTTATCGGAGGTGAGTAAAATTATCATCATTATCATATCTTTACCAAATCTAAATATTGTACATA